AGGAAAAATAAGAGAAATAGAAATGTTGATACAGTACACATATGTACATATTACTCCATGTTATGTATTCTTTATATGACCTACAGTAAGAATTAGCCCTTAATATTAAAAAGAAAAATGTAGATTCAAGTGAGATTTGCCTAAGGTTTCAACTATTAATAAAATTGAACTGTTTTTCCTGTGGTTAATTCCCATCAGCCTTTGAACCAAGCCCTTGCTTAAAGAAGTCAATAGTATGGATAGAGTGGAGTTTATCGTCAAGTCCTTTCGCAAATGAGACAGCAAATTAAAAATCAATTATATGTACAGAAAAATTGGTGTAAGGCAATCAGTGCTGTCAATTAGTTTGCAGAAAGATTCTGCTGTTTCATAAGCTATAAAGAGAAATGTGTTTTAAAAATCCCTTAGTAAATGAAATAGGACAAGCATTTTATTAGAAGGGAAGAGGTATTTCAAAAATTTATTTCAGTAGTTCTTGTCAGTAGAAGTTGCCTCTGGGATAAATGTACGAATTCAGCTGTGACCTTTCCATTCACATACATGGCTTTACTACTTTCTAGGCTTCCTCGTTATGCTGTGGTCAAAGAAGTTAGTATGCCCATTTTTCTCTTTGTGTTTAACAAGATTTTCTTTTCTTATTTTCTTTAACCAGTACTTTTTTTTAAGTTCATCATCCCCAGTTCTACTTTTAGATAAAAAAATGAAAGCCAGCATACCTTGTGCTGTTCTTTAGGGCTGTGTGTGTGTGTGTACATCTGTATTTAAGCATTAGGGCTATACAGAGACCTGGAAAGTAACTCCACAATGAATACAAGCACACCTTAAATTATTCTGGCTGCTTGGGATAATCTTTTTAAATTGAAGAGTGCTTTTGATGGTATATTTTTCATTTTTGCTGGGGGGTGGGGAGTAATGGTGGAGTCTTCAGCTTGAAAGATTAATAAATACTACAGCAGTGGGTTATTGAAGCCATGTTTCCATCTCATTTCCAAGGGCATGTAAAGAATGGAGATAGCATACACTTTCAGCCACTCTCTATCATCTTTCTCTGTTCATTTAAAAAATGAGAACAAGGCACAAGGGGACTTGAGAGATTGCATTTGTTCTCCCATAGACATAGAGGTTATTTTATATATGAAGAGGATGGAAAACCCTTTCCTTGTGCAGTTTCTTAGCAACAGAATTGGAGTCAATTTTAATGTGTGTGCTTAGAACATTCTATGTAGAGTGACATTGGAGCCTTACATTTTCATAAAACATATTACACTGCTAACTGGAATTGAGGGTTGGGAGAAGGAAATAGGACGTGAAAAATGAGAACCCTTCCATGAGAGGAAGTCATTCATTTAGAGCTGCCTCCTCACTCCTGGCATACTTCTGTCTTAAACCTAAAGTCTCTCTTAGGCTGGGCACGGAGGCTCATGCTTGTAATCCCAGCACTTTGGGAGGCTGAGGTGGGCAGATCACCTGAGGTCAGGAGCTCGAGACCACCCTGGCCAACATAACAAAACACCATCGCTACTAAAAATACAAAAATAAGCCAGGCGTGGTGGCGTGCACCTGTAATTCTAGCTACTTGGGAGGCTGAGGCAGTTGAATTGCTTGAGCCCAGAGACTGAGGATGCAGTGAGCTGAGATTGTGCCACTGTACTCCAGCCTGGGCGACACAGCAAGACTCTGTCTCAAACAAACAAACAAACAAATAAATAAATAAATAAATAAAGTCTCCTTTAGGTGGAAGTAGTAATGGCCTTGGTAGCCCCCAGTTGCCACCTTCACTAGAGTGCCAGCCTGTTTTGTATCTTCCCTGGGAATATTTTGTTGTTATTCTTTTCCTTACACCCTGCATGCAACTAACTGACACTTAGATTTGATGTTGTTTTTGCACTTGCTTTAAAACATATTTCCAAAGTATCTTTATATAGGTGAATTCTAGTGTGTTTTCCACATTTATAAGACAATGTACTGAGCTGTCAGGAAGCAGAATGTGTTTGGTGGTTATAAGGGGAGAAAGACAATGCCTGATATTGGCCTCAGCCCCTGAGCGTGAGGGCCCAGGGTCTGTCTCTCTGTCTGTGTTCCTTGCGTTTGAGGTCAGTTTGGCAGAGGGCAAGCCGGCCTGCCAACTTCCTGTGATTGTTGACTCTGTGTGAACAGGAAGATAGAATGATCCCTTCCTACTTACCAAGTTTCTTATTCCGTTCTGAGTTTAGATCACTAGTTGAAATTCATTCATTCATTCATTCCGGAAATATTGATAGAGTACTGACACTCTGCCAGGTGACACCAGAGTGAACAAAACAGACAAAAATCTCTGCCTTCTTGGAGCTGAGATTGTAGTGGGGAAGGAGGCTAGATTAAAACCGTCTTGCTAAGTGACATATACAGTGTGTTAGTCCTGAAAAGATTGAAAACAGGAAAGCAATATGAAATAACGGGTAGAGGGGTTGAACTTTTACTTAAGATAGCTACGGAGAGTTCACCTTTGAGTAAATACCTTAAAAAAAAGTGAGGAAGCTAGCCTTGCATATATACAGAGGAAGAGAATTCTGGGCCAAGGAAACTGAGTGCAAAGGCCCTGAGGTGGGAGCATGCCTGGGAAAAAGCAAAGCTGCCCGGAATGGATGGAGAAGATGAAGTCGGAAGACCACGAGGATCTGAGACCAGAGTTGTTCGCTCCTATTTTGTGCCTCACAGTTGAGTTACATTATCAGACTCATGAGGAAGTCTTGAGGGCTGTTCTGTTTTCTCCCAATGGAGTGTCTCCCATAACAGTGATTTTATGGCTTCAGTTATGTAGGACTCTGAGTCACGCATTCCTCTGGCTTCTGCAGCAGCTCATTGTGTCAAGATTGAAGTGTTTTTGTTTTCTGACTGGTTTAGACAGTATTTACTACATATGTTTACTATAAATTCAGCATTTGTGAGAGGAGTTATTTTTCCTGAGTAGGAGCAAGAAAATACCTGGAAAGAAGTGTGCCTGCTGTACCTCTATCTTGGAGTAGTCATTATTCTTGTCATCAGCATGTCCTAACAAATTCTAATTCAGGAAGTGAAGACTGTGGAAAACTTGAAACTGTAGATATCATGCTGTGAATGATACATCGAATGAAAAGAGAGTCTTCTAAAAAATCTTTCTTTCTTGAGTCAAATCCCCTGGCTTTGAGACTTAGCTCAGGGGAGAGTCCCTCTGATAGTGCTGTTTGACAAAACAGGCCAGCTTCCCTTGTTGGCCATCATTCGCTTGCTCTGGGCCTGTGGTGATTATTCTTAATGTCTGGAGGATGGATGCCATGTGCACTGACTGACTAGAATGCTGGGCCAAGCTTAGTGTTCCTTAGTAGTGTTCTGATCTTCGTCTTTCTCCAACACTCGTTCTCATGAGAGGTTAGGATGTTCATGAGGCACTTTAGAATGAGGAGTGGCCCGTGACTAATGAAGGCCTGGATGTCACTGCGTTTTGTAGGGCCTGCTGCACCAGGTTGGGATGGCAAATTCATTTGGGTGCCTCCACACTGAACTAGGAAGTCTTCAGGGCAGGGTTTTAGTTTAATTCTTTTTGTAGTCACAGAACCTGGCCCAGCACATGGAGCAGGATTGATCATCAGAAAATACCATTTGAGTGGGTGGAACAGAAAAACCTCAGATCGCTTCAGTGGAGTGACCTCTTTGGCAGAGCTCCTGAGCTGCCAGAGTCTAGAGAGGCTTCTCCTTTGACCAGCATAGGACCAGTGCATGCCCTGGGCACCACAAGAACTAATTAACTGGATTTATCCCTGTTCTTTTTGTCTCAGTAGCTTCCTTTGGAAGGAGCAACCAACTCCTTCCAGTTTGTGGTTTTATTTTCTAAATTCCAATTTTAAAAACTCATTCATTGCCAAACATCACCTGATGTGTACTGATGATACGTGTGGTTGAGATGTTCTACTATGGGAGAATGAGTGATGGAGGGAGAAGGAAAGAGCTCAGTGGGCAGCACAGGTCAATCTGACTGCTCCAACATACCTTCCCATACAAACTAGCACTGTTTCTGGTTCGGGAGTCATGGTCCCTCGTGATCTTGCCACTGCACTCCAGCCTGGGTGACAGTACGAGACCCTGTCTCTAAAAAATAAAAAAAATAAAAAAAAAAAAGGAATCATGCTACTAAGAACACCAGCAAGATTGTTATTCTGAAAATAGGATAATGCACAGAGGCACCCTGAACAGCTTTGCCACCACTGCCCTGTGTCCCTCCTGGCTCTGCTCTCTGAGGGCTGCTGAAGTCCTAGCACCAGAGCTCTCTGGGGAAGGCCCAGTTACCTCCTGAAGAAGGTAAGCCAGGCTCTTCACTTTCCTACATGGAAAACTCATTTTTTGGGGTGGGTTGGTGGACAAAAGCAGGAAGAGGGCCTGGTGGTTTGTGGAGAGAAAACTGGCCTGAGAGTCAGAGGTGTGAGTATCAGTCCTCCGATTGGCAGCCACCTTGGTAGCCTCAAGGAAGTAGGGTCTCCTCAACCCCCTTCTTGAGTCTTAGGTGTTTTTTGTTTTGTTTTGAGACAGAATTTTGCTCTGTTGCCCAGGCTGGTCTTGACCTCCTGACCTCAGGTGATAGGTGAACTGCCTGCCTCAGCCTCCCAAAGTGCTGGCGTTACAGGCGTAAGCCACCACACCTGTCAAGTCTTAAGTCTTTGTATCAAAGAAATAATAAGAAAAGGAGAAGGAAAGGGGAGGGGAAAAATTCTGAGGTGCTGGCAACTGTGTTTGACAGGAAGTGAGGATTGAGCCTATCTTGGTCTGCTGCCTGCCCTATCCTTTCACTTCCAGGTGAGAAATTGGCCACATCCTTTATCTAAAGCTAACTGTCATTCCTATTTAAGAAATTTGAAAACACACATGCACACATGCATGAGTACGCGCGCGCGCGCACGCACACACACACGCACACACACGCGCGCGCACACACACACACACACACACACACACACACACCCCAGTGTGTGTGTCCTTTTATTACCGAAAGTTCTTGGGATCTCCCTTGCAGCTGATTTGTAAGTTTTGATCATACTTTTAGTTTTCTAATTTTCGCCATTGGCAGCAATAAAACCAAATCTGGTAGGCTACAGAGACACAGGCTAATGAGTACCATAGACCACACCAGAGTGGGAGGAAGGATGGCCCATCACCGCAGCGATGCTCTGTGCTCTTTCATCCCTTGTCTTCCTCTCAACAGCAGCTTGGAGTCTTCTCTGGGAACCACTGTATAATATTAAAATCTGTGGAAGTGTCACACATTTGCTAATAAGCTGCTTTCCAAACAGACATAGTCTATGCTAAATATTAGTCATTTTCTTTTTTCAGATAGGGCCTTTAATTAATTAGGGTGACAGAGCTAAGTAAGTTTGATTATCCATTTTTCAAAGAGAATTTTAGAAAATGAATTTAAAAAGGTTTTTTCTTTTTCTTTCTTTCTTTTTTTTTTTTTGAGGCAGGGTCTTGCCCTGTCACCCAGGCTGTAGTGCACTGGTATGCTCTTGGCTCACTGCAACCTCTGCCTCCTGAGTTCAGGTGATCCTTCCACCTCATCCTCCCTAGTGGCTGGGACTACAGGCACGCGCCACAATGCCTGGCTAATTTTTGTATTTTTAGTAGAGACAGGGTTTCAACATTTTGGCCAGGCTGGTCTTGAATTCCTGACCTCAGGTGATCTGCCCACCTTGGCCTCCCAAAGTGCTGGGATTACAGGTGTGAGCCGCCACACCTGGCCTAACAAGGTCTTGATAAGCAAAGGTTTGGGAAACTGGTTGGTCTGGAGCAAAAACTCATCTAATATTATTAAAGAGGTAGAGGAGCTTTGCTTAGAGAAGACCTGGAACTCTGATCTGTGGTGACCACTCCCATGTTGAGAGTCTTTTTTTTTTTTTTTTTTTTTTTTGAGACAGAGTTTCACTCTTGTTACCCAGGCTGGAGTGCAATGGCGCGATCTCGGCTCACCACAACCTCCGCCTCCTAGGTTCAGGCAATTCTCCTGCCTCAGCCTCCTGAGTAGCTGGGATTACAGGCACGCGCCACCATGCTCAGCTAATTTTTTGTAGTTTTAGTAGAGACGGGGTTTCACCGTGTTGACCAGAATGGTCTCGATCTCTTGACCTCGTGATCCACCCGCCTCGGCCTCCCAAAGTGCTGGGATTACAGGTGCGAGCCACCGCGCCCGGCCCTGAGAGTCTTGATTTCATCAGGCAGAGCTGTTCCAAATTCTCAAGCAGCTTAAAGAGTAGGGTGGACTCTGGATTTTTGGGATCCTACTACTCAGTCCAGTCCATGGAAATGAAGTTCTCCAGTCCTTTAGCAATAACAAAAGTAGAAAATTATTTTCAGATCATCCTTTGAGACAGCCCAACTTCTTTGTCAGCTTCGTAGTCACTTTCCAAGTTTATGACTCCAGAGCAATCTGACCTTGGTAGCTTGTCTCCCTCATTAAATTCTCTGACTTCATAATCAGCTCACATTCCCTTCCCCTGTCTCTCCCTCTCTTTTTAAATCTCTGTAAAACATTCAAGTGATCCACGTAGATTTATCTTGCTTTTAGGCCACACTCTGAGTTGCGTGATCCGGTTGCTCACACATTTGGAGGAGTCCATGAGCATCACACCATGTACTCTCCACTGGTTTGAAATCATTGTGGTCACTTGGGCATTCCATTGTTATGAAGATTGACGTGTGTAAGGGTACACTCTACTGAGCCTGAGTATCTTCGCAGAAGGGGTGGTGGATTCTTGAAGATGAAGAGCAAACATTTCTGTCAGTTTCTGGATAATAACTTTAAATTTACCTTAGGAATTATAAATGGAAAAAGAAAAATCTTTATTTTTCACCTTATACTGAATTTAATTCCCCTGCATGCCCATACCTACTCTGTGTGTAGGGCTCTGCTGGAAGTTTGAGACCTTTTTGTCCACTGTTTGCTCTCATAATTCTTCCTCTAGTTGAATATTTTGTTCCTACCATTGTTAGTTTCTTCTTCTGTTATTCAAGTGACCTTTTTTTTGGCTTAGCTTTTTTGAAACAAGACTTACAAAAAACATTATTGATTCCTGTGTACAAAAGGAACAGAACATATCACTGACTTTAAACAAACTGCATTTGTTCTTTCACTGCTATGATCTCTGCAGGAGCTACCACCAACCTTGGTAATTACTTGGCAGTGTGGCCAGCGACTTGCCATCCCACTGTGGTATCCTTGACTGATTTTGGTAGTTGAGTGTAAGTGAGTGCTTGAGTTGGACTTAATCACCACAGAATCTAGAGAGGGGACAGCAGCCACACAATTGGAAACTTGTTTTGAGTGCCTCTTTTGCTTCAGATGGTGTGCTAGGGCTCACAGGGACTGCAGAGGCAAGCAGCTGCACCTTGCTCTTGGACAGGGAGATCAGGAAGAGTGCTGCAGAGGAGGCTTGAGAGGACCTTGAAGGATGGATAGGAGTTCACTGGGCAGAGGTTAATGGGAGAACAAGGGCTAAAAGAATTTGAGTGGTTGGTTAGTAGCAAGTTGCCCAGTTTGGATGAAGCTTATGGGTGGGGGAGGGTGTGAGGTAACTAATTCAGAGCCTCCCACTTTTGACTGATAAGTTTATGTTTAATTCAAGAGGAAACGAGGAAAAATTATATATTTTCGAATGTGGGGAAGGATGGGACTGGAGCTACCTTAGAAGATCAATCTGGCAGTAGCATGGAAGAGTAGAGGTGGGCTGAGGACTTCTTGTGAGCTTGTCTGCACGTTAGAGTCATCGGGAGAGCTTGAAAATGCCCCGTTGCTGGTCTGTACCCCAGCTAGTCAGAGCAGAATCCCTGGGGTGGGCCATAGGCATCCATATTCTAGGCCCTGAGAACCACTGGACTGGGTCAGGACTGTGCTCCTAGTGAGAGATGCCAAGAGCTGTCAGTTTACAGCAGCACTTCACAATGTTAGGTGCACGCTAGACTCACATGAGGAACTTTAGACACACAGAGCAGTAACTTGGGTCCGATTTAATTCATCTGGGGTACAGCCAGGATGTTGGGACACTAATATGCAGTCAAAGTAGGTGGAAGATTAGGCTAGAAAATTGGTGGGAGGTCAGGATGTTGAGGCAATGAGTGGTTTTTTGTTTGTTTGTTTATTTTTTGAGATGGCGTTTCACTCTGTCACCCAGGCTGGAGTGCAGTGGTGCGAGCTCAGTTCACTTCAAACTCTGCCTCCCAGGTTTAAGCGATTCCCTGCCTCAGCCTCTCGAGTAGCTGGGATTACAGGTGCGTGCCACCACACCCAGCTAATTTTTGTATTTTTAGTAGAGACAGGGTTTCACTATCTTGGCTAGGCTGGTCTTGAACTCCTGACTCCAAGTGATCCACCCACCTCAGCCTCCCAAAGTGCTGGGAATACAGGCCTGAGCCATTGCGCCCAGCCGAGGCAATGAGTATTGACTGTATTGTTGAGATAATGAATAGCTAAGTCCTAGGCTGCATATCGAACAATGAGAAACCGGTGCAGAGATGGTAGGGGAGTTGAGGAAACAATCAAAAAGAGGGATGTTGTGGGGGTCATGGAGGCTGTGCAGTAAATAGGGAAAATCTGTAGTTTCACATCTTAGACATGGCTATCGGTAGATGGCTAGGTTGGAATAATGAACACTAAGCATTGGTGGACACAGAATGTTAGATCTGTGATCTATGTTTCCCACATTCCTGAGAGTGCTATTGAAAGGTAGGATGGAGGAAGAGACTTAGCTAGCTGGGAAGAGACTTCTTTGCAGGTCTCAGAATAAGGTGCAGATGGGTTTGGCAAGTGGTTGACACTGTGATGGGGGAACCCGGATGGGCGTGGTTGATGAGATGGTGAGACAGCATTGCTACTGTTGACAAAACTGAACTTCTGGCCCTGTAACTGGAGGGGTTAAAAGGAATGCTCTCTGGATATGAATGTGAGAAAGCTGCAGCAGGGCTCGGGGGTTGGGGTATGAGGTCATTAGAACTGCATGTGAGAGGACAGTAGGTATCTAGGGGACATCATGTGAGGCATCAGTTGGGATTTGCTAGGGTGAGCATCTGGTCCAAAGGACATCTAGTCTGGACTGGGCTGGGAATACAGGAAGGGCTGGAGAGGAAGGAAGTATGTGCTGTGCCTATCATTTACTTCTGCATGGAGAGGGAAGTGAGCATTGCCTCCACATGCAGCTCTGCTGGGTGCTGTGCTTCTTGGTGGCTTCCCATTTCTTGGAGCTCCTGGCTCCTCATTGGGGTCACTAAATCGTTAACTGCTAAATGGAGCCAAAGTCCATTAACATGGAGAAGTTGAAGGTGGAGGAAAGGTACAAGGAGACAGAGGTTTGTGAATGGAACAATATGTAGAACTAAAATCGCAGATTTGAGTGTTGGCTGTAGAATATATTCCTGCTGTTTGTTCCTCAATCACTCAACAAACAATGAGTACGGACTGTGTACAAGGCATCTTCTCAACTGTGGGGATAGAAATAACCATTTATGTACTGTTCTCGTGGGATTTGCATTCTGCTAGGGACCATAGACAAATAAGCAAATTAACTTAAATCAGATGAATTCAGGTAGATGTCATGAGGAAGATAAATTAGTTTTGCTACACACAGACTGCGTAGGGTAAAGGTTGTAGAGCTATAAAGGTACCTCCTTTGGGGTAGAAGCAGCTTCTCACGCCATGTTACTGTTCCCTCTTAAGTAATTCTGGGTAAATGACACCACTGATCATTCATGTCAGTCAAGAGTGATCTATGTTTTTTAGGCCCCGGGTGGTGGCTCACAACTGTAATCCCAGCACTTTGGGAGGCCGAGGCAGGTGGATCACGAGGTCAGGAGTTCAAGACCAGCCTGGCCAAGATGGTGAAACCCTGTCTCTACTAAGAAGAAATACAAAAATTAGCCGGGTGTGGTGGTGGGCACCTATAATCCCAGCTACTCGGGAGGCTGAGGCAGAGAATTACTTGAACCTGGGAGGTGGAGGTTGCAGTGAGCAGAGATCGAG